GGGGGAAAGGTGAGGGCTTTGTCAAAACAGCCCATGGGTCTTCTGGGTAGTCTGCAAGTGTGACCCAGACGAGGGGCGTGACAATGAGCTGGGAAAAAGAAGGAGGAGCCCCGTGGAAGCAGTTCCCCGTGGGACTGGTAAATGCAGGTCTGCACTTGGCTGCTCTCCTACCTCAGGGGCTCTCGTCCTTTGCCCGCTGAGGTCTGCAAGAAAGCCTTGTCTGTGGTGCCCTCTCCCCACACAGAGTCAAAGCCACGGGGAAACTTGCCAGTAGCTCAGCAGCGTGGCTGCTCTGCAGGCCAGGGGGGTTTATGGCAAGGCAGAGTTGGTGCGTTAAGTGCTCTGAAGGGAAGTGCTGGGGAAAAGAGAAGCAACACTGTCCCAGGGCACACGAGGGGCTCTGAGCACACAGGAGAAAACTTCCTGCCATGGAGATGATCAGGGGGTCGAAGGGCTTGCCCCGGGAGTTTGTGCAGCCGCATCTGTGGGGAATTTGAAGAGCAGTGCAAGGAGCCCTGAACAGCATGGCCTGAGCTGGTAGTTGAGGCTGCTTTAGGGAGGCCCCTTGTAAGAGAAATTCTCCAATGCTTCCATGGACTTGGCTTTGCTTTCCCGGAGCTTGTAGGAAAGGGGGAAAGAGCTGTTTTGGGAGCAAGCAGGCGAAAAATGATGCAGGATGAGACATGTTTCCGATGAAATTTTGGATGCTTTAGGACTGCTTTTGTGGTTCCTGGAAGCCATGAGGCTCACCTGGAGGAAGATAATCTGCGCTTGCAGGAGGAGTTGAACAGGGCTGAGCCGGAGGTATGGAAAGCCTGTCCCCACAGGGATAAACCTGGGGGTACCTGTTGCTTCCTATCCATCCTGAAAATGGACAAACCAGTATTCTGGCATCCTCTGCTTCCTGCTCAGGGGCTGCTGGGCGCCTCTCTCTGCACCACAGTTTGGGTCTTTCCCACTTCAAAAAACTCCCCGTGCTCCCCTGGTGCAATCCTGGGCTCCTGAGCACATGTGCCAGAGCACTTGGCCTCTGACACTTGCCAGACACCTTCCTTTAGGGAGATGGACTATTTCACTCATCTCTTCCTGGAGTAGCAAGCAAGGGAATACAAGAAGTGTCCCAGGTCACAAAACAGGTCGGAGGGGCAGTGTCTGTGCTTAGAACTGAGCTGTAGGAAAGCAGTGGAGGGATGGGAGAGGCTGCTGTAACAGAGGACAAAGGCATCCAGCTTGTGTCCATTGGGGAGCAGAAGTGAAGCTTTGAAGGGACTTGAATGGATTGCAGTTCTTTGGGCAGAGGGGATGCACACACACATGCAGCACCTGAGTTCTTCAGCAGCAGCTGGCTCCTCTCTGGAAAAGCTCACCTGACAACTGTGCATTCTTCCCGTGTCTTTACAGCTGCAGGAGGAGGAAGAAAAGCATCTTCAGTCTGAGCATTGTGTTCCTGACTTGAAGACTGCCTTGGATGACAAAGAAAGAGAAGCAAGAACTTCTTCCCAGAAACTGCAGGACCTCCTGTTGGCATCTTCCGAGACTAATACCACTCTAAAACAGCTGGAAGAACATGTGCAACAGTAAGAGAGTAACGCAGTGAAG